TGGGAATGCCTGTGCCACGCCCACCAGCGCTAGGACCCAGGAGCGCCCCCAAAACCCCGTTCACCTGTCTCCTCAGCTCTTCCGGGCGCAGGGCAGGAAGCTTGCCCGGCCACGCCGACTGACATCCGCTTCAGCCAATTGGAGACCCGCGATTCTTCAGCTTCCGATTGGTCCGCGGAAAGGGGGCAAGCCCGGCCTCCTCTCCTCCGGTTTCCGGCGTGACTTTGGGCGGGAGCGTTCGAATGCGGCGGGCGGCGTTGCCATGGGGACGCGGCCTAGCGGCCGGCGCGGAGCCTGCGTGGAGTGAAGGCCCGGGCGGGCCGCGCGGTCGTGGTGAGTGGCTGCGAGGAGCCGCGGGGCCTGAGGGCGAAGGTGGGGTGAGGGTGGTGTTGCCATGGAGACTGCGCCCCCTCCATTGGCTGTCTGGGGGCCCGTTGCCATGGAGACGGGGGACTCTGCTGCATCCCTGCCCGGGATGGGGATGGAGGGCTGCGCAGGCTCAGACTTCCCTGAGGCAGGACGGGGTGTATTTCCCCACTGGTCAGACTGGTGTAACCTCGGGTTGTTGCTGGCCCCTCGGCGGTTTGGATGATTCTGCCTCAGGATTTTCCCAGTGGGACGCAAGCGATGGAAGAGCAGCAAGCACTCGGGTGATCAAGTCTGGAAGAGAAGACAAGACCGATGTTAGTACTTGAGGACAGTCTTCAAACGCCCGGAGGGGATGGAAGCATCTTGTGTCTGTAGGGCTGAGAGCGATGGTCGGGGGCTGCCGTGGAGGAAACGTCAGCTGTAGAGCGGGGGGACCTTTCTGATGATGGGGCCAAGCAAACAGCTGATGGGAAGCTGATCTGGAGCGGGCTCCCAGGGAGGTGGTGCTCGCCCCTACCCGGGGGGTCTTCAAGAGGAGACTGGATAAGCACCTGGCTGGGGTCACATGACCCCAGAGCTTTTTCCTGCCACAGGCAGGGGGTCAGAGTCGATGATCCTTTAAGGTCCCTTCTGACCCAAACATCTATGAATCTATGACTCCAAGGGTGGTCAAGCCTTGGAAAAACGGTGACATTTCCATCCTTGGAAACTTTCAAGAGCAGGTTGGGCAGCCAGGTTGAGGCAGGGAGATGCCCAGATGAGATGCAAGTGCCTCCCAGCCCTACTTTCCTATGATCCTATGATTTCTGTGCCTTTGAACTCCTTCCAGATCGCGTACCGGCTCAGCTTTGTGTGCAACAGAACAACACGGAAAAAGATACAAGTGTTTTTTGCCTCTGAGCAGCCTGCGCACGGGCATGCTGATACACACCCAGGAATCACTGAAATGTAGCCTGTACAAGGGAGAGGCTTGCCAGATGTTTCGGCAAGATGCTGTTAGCTTCGAGAGTGCGTTTATAACAAATCTGCTATTGTAGGAAGGAGTCCCCTGTAGTTCAGCGGTGGCATCCTGGTCTACCACACAGGAGACCTGGGTTCGTATTCCCAGACACACACAACTACAGCGGTGGAGGCACCAAACATCTGGGCTCAGTCTGGTCTTTGGAATCTGTCTCAGTAGCGTAAAGGGAGGATGGAAGGTCTGGGCAGCCTCGACTCCTCCAAAAGTTCCTGCCCAGGCATATGTATCGCAGGCCTGGGTGGTCCTCATGCATACACCATGGTCCAGGAGGATTGATGATTGCCATCACCTATTGTAGGAGTTCACTGACAAGTCCAGATTGATTCTGAATTTTTTCCACCCCCTGAACTGGAAAATCGAAGCACGTGGTGAGCTGTGTGGGCTTTTCTTAAGCTGAGGAAGCTAAATGCAGAGGAAGTTGGTTGCCAGGGGACAAGTCCAGTAAACACTCATTAAGAGGCTGAAACTAAAACTACAAAGGCCCAAGGGTTTGTCTTTTAGGTGGTTACAAAATGAAACAAATGTTCAAAACCATTTGGCAGCATTGCCTTCAGGGAAGCCCAGGCACAATTTTCAAATCGTTAGCATCCTAATATAACCCGCAGATTATTTTTTCTTAGCGTGTGGTTGAATATTAGACATTTCCCATCTCTGTGCAGCTGTTGCTTTAAACAGTTGTTGAGTATCAGCTGGAGGACAGAGTCTCTTTTGCCGAGGTCATTTTCCTATAATTAATATCAGAGAATGATTATAACAGTTATCAGGCTTTTGCAAATTAAAAAAAAAATAGTTTCTTTGGGGAAAATGTCATTGTTGGGTTGATTTTTTTTAATCAGTTGCAGATTACAATGAAATTGTTGTGGCCCTTGTAACTTGATCCATGTGTGATTATCAATATATTGCTAACATGGGCATTAGAAAGCTCGATATAGTGGAAGAATAGAAATAGTTTTTCATTATTCAGGGGTAAAATAGTTCTCAGGTAACACTGAAGATAAACTTTTCTTTACTGGAATTTGTAGATAGTTGCCTGTTTTTATTATTTAGCTTTTTCTTCCTATGTCTTCAAAATTGGCTGGTATAATATTTGTTCCAGTAGTCAAAAGAAATATATATTTTATAGTCTATAAGTACGCAGAAAATTATATGCTGTAACATCACCTTGTAAATGTTTCCTCTGCAATTGTATATAACATGTTTAGAAAAAAATATATTCATGGTACTCTTGTCTCATCTCCCCTATCCTATTCTTGTCTGTTTGCTATTTTCCCCCTACCTGTGACATTTGATCTCTAACTAAAATGATGAGTGTCTTCTGTGGCTGGGTTTTGTCTCAGTGCTCAGCACAATGGAGCCTGCCCGGGTGGGAGCCTCGGCAGCTTCCTGTAATATAGATCAGGATTAAAATTAGTAAAATAATAGGAAGGCACAAATGGTCAGAGAAAGTAAAGCACTTTGCAGAGTCACAGGACAGCAAACTTGCCCTTCATCGTTGAAGTCCTGAGTAAAATTTAGCCTTGGACTAGGGTTCAACATGCTTGCGGTATTCATGGAAGTAATAGATGGAGACAGGTCTATCAGATAACGTAATCTGGCAATGCCCTTGCTCTGTGAGGCAAATACAAGATTGTCTGATAAGACTGGTCTCACTCTAGTCCTCTCTTAACGTGCCTCAGGAAATCACTTAGCACTTCAGCACCATTGGCAGTCTACACCTGCGAAAAGTTTGGGGCTGTACAGAAACTCTTGAGAAAGCTAAGACAAACCACTAAAGGTGTGTTAAAAACCTGTGTGGATGTTGTTTTTCAGGAGAAAGGTGGTTTTTGATTGTTCCAGACTCAGACACAGGTAAGCTACAAAGATCTAAGGCCATTTTGGTCTCCAGTGAGCACATTCAAATGGGGGTTAAATATGAGGTATCTTGGGTGCTGTGACTTGACACCTTCAGTTAGTTTCCCTTGACTTTCCAGAGCATCACTGTGAGATTGAACCTTTTCTCTGCATTATAAAGCTCACTGAAAGTAAAATATCCATACAAGAGCTAAATAATGATGATGATGAAGAGTAAAAATATTTTCAAATAAATCTCTGATCTTAGAGCTCAGTTTTGTGCCAAGGGGTTCTGCAGCAGATTCTGTTGTTTCAAAATATGCCAGTTCCATTGCTTTAGAGTATAAAAGAGCCACCATTGATTTCTACTCTTGTTGCTTGGCTTTTCTCCCTCTGGTCAATCCTTTTCTGAAAAAAAATATAACGCTAGGCAAAGGAGTTCTTTTCTGATGCCAGCGTATGATCTGATTCTGTGGTTTGATATACAATTATAATATTTTCTTACATAGGTACTAATCAGCCACCTGTTCCAGGGAGTACTACAGATATGCCTGAAATGGAGGCTTGTAGTATCAGAAAATGTGCAGCACTGTACCATAAGGTTTGAGTCTGGCTTATGACTATATTCTTGTAATGCTTCCTGAGTGTTTCACATATATTGGCACTGAAATACAACCAGATAATCATCTGGCATGTCACACTTTTCATTGCATTGTGTGCATGGGTCTGTATAAAATCCTCGCCAAGTACCCTGCAGCAAGTCCCTGCCCTAATACCAGTGCCATGGAATTTTCAATCTTCGTGCATAGTAGATATTTTATGAACTTATCTGAAAGACCTCCGATATATATAGAAAATTGTGTGGCAGTCAGCTTGCCTTTCTTTTAAGACTAATGGCCTGAATCGTCACCAACCTAAAGATCCTACGCATTTTAAATTTAGAACCAATAATTATCCTAGAACAGGTTGCCAGTGTATAATAACTGTGATGTTCTAGCAGACTCAGTTGAATTCATTTTGTATTTAACAGACCTGCTTCTGCGCCTTTTGTTAAAGCAAGAGTGTCACTTTGCCTGAAAAGAATGTGAGACCTCAGCTGTTCAGGATGGAGCTGAACAGCTCTGCCGCGTCGGGACAGGAATGACATCCACTCTGAATTGCAGTATCACACAGTGCCTGCTGTTGCTGCAAAGAACAAATTAAGGCAAACTGAGGGACAGATCACTCCCTATACTTGATGATATTTGACCTTTGAAATGCGAGTTCATTTCAAACTCTGCTGGCATAAAAACAGCTCCTCTTTTCCCAAACACATTTCATATTCAAGTGTCTGAAAAGATCCTAGCCTTAAGTGTCAAGTCTCTTAAGCCTCTGCTTCTAGCCTCTGCTTCTAATAAAGCCAATAAAGCAGGATGGATTTTGATATTAAAATATGGTGATTAAGAATGTTTAGTCTAGATTTTTGCATTACAGAACACAATCACCAGATGAGGGTGAATGAAAATTACTTGGATCCTGATAATAGAAAATTAGAAACTCAGAGATGTCCTCTCTTTTGCCAGCAGATGGCACTGGAATTAACAGTTTAGGATTTCGTGAAAGCTTTTAAATAACTTGGCTTGCTTCTTTTAAGAAATAGAACAAAGCAGTTTTACTTGAAGAATTACGTTTCAGTTTGAAAAACAATATATGTAGGGCTTTTTGCGCCTAAACAACTAGGTGAATGAACGTGCCCTGTTAGGACGGTCATCTCTTCTGACCTCCTACATAAGACTTCCCTTAATTAAGTGTTGTTTGACCTACAGCACATCTTTGAGAAGAGCATCCAATCTTGTTTTAAAAATTCCCAGAATTGGAGAATCCTCTGTGACCCTTGGTAAATTGTCCCAATGGTTAATTACCCTCATTGTCAAAAGTGTGTGCCTCTTAGTCCTCTCTTTCATTGTATATAGTAGGGATTTTTTTTTTATGTGTTTTGCTTCATTTCAGATAGCATTGTGGAATTGTTTTTAAATCTCTTATCACTCCTACTCACATAAGTCTCTCAAGTTTCCCTTCTACTTTCCTGGAAACTGAGCTCCATTTTTTCATTTAGATATTGCAGCTACCGATAGTTCTTGCACTTTTGTTTCAGTGGATGTGCATGTGAGATTAAATATGATCTAGAGTACAATCCTGCATTGGGCGTTGGACAATAAACAGAATGAAACCAGATAGATCTTTTCCGTCTTGAACTTCTGATTCTTGTCATTTTGAGATGAAGTCCCAAGCTTTGTGTTCGTGTCTTCCATTTATTCTTTCCTCCACAGAAGGTGACTTCCATGGTGGTCGGTGCACCAAGCAGCCCAATCCAAATGGGACTTGGACTGGGGATTGATTGAACTCCTACGGCAGAATTCTTCAAAGCACTCACTGTTGGCCTGCCTCTTCCCCCTTTGATGTCAAATGATCCTTTTTACCTTAGGGTAAACTGTGTGCTTTGGGAAATCTCATTCATACTCAGTATGCCAGCTAAGCTAGTAGCTCATTCAGATTTCACGAAGAGAGACCCCATGTCTCTGAACTTTCCTTTCTTTTTTTTTCCCCAAAACTAAACATCTCAACAACAGCTCTTTTTTTTTTTTTTTTTACATCAAGAATCAGAATTTCCCTACAGAAACTCCACTGAGGACTTCCCTGTAACAGTGCTTCTGCTGTCTAGCTTGTTAAGTTTTATTGCTGAACCACTCATAATTTTATTCTGACTGATATTTCTTTCTAACTCAGACCCAAGGTTCTAAATCATTTTGTTTGTCCCTTAATGCACCTTTTCAGTTGTTGTAATATCTGATTGCCGTCAGCAAATTATTAGACAGCAGTTGTATTATTATTCAGACTTAGTTTGGCATTGATTTTAGTAATGGTAAATGAAGATTTGATTTTTATTTAGCAGGCTAATTATTTTAAACAACAAATTACTGTGGCTGTACATCTGAAAATCCTACTAATGACTATAACCAGTGTTACAAGAAAAAGACTATTTTAGTAACAAGCAGTGTAGTGTTCTTTGGAGTATGATGTTGGCATTCAGTCACCAATAATGACTTCAGTCCTGAGCTCTGTAAAAACATCTAGAAAGGTGTTTTAATTTATTTAAGATTCTATGTGTTGTCAGTGTTTAAAGTGAACAAATAAGAATCTCTGCAGATATCAATCCAGCTGGATATAAACAATTATGTTGGGGAAACACAAGTGTAGGATTTCTGAGTTGTTTTTCTAAATGATAAAACGATGCATGATACAGTGGCCATGTTGTATAATTCATCTGTAATATGTATAATAAACCATTTATCTTTAAGGCTTGATCTTTGAATGTGTCCATATCCATGTCTCATCCCTTTGTTAATTAACTGTGGGTTAACAGTAGGACTGCATGCCTGACATCAAATTGGGCAGCTAAAATTAGGCATATTGCATTCTGTAGCTGGTGGACGAGATTTCAGTAGACTGCAGCATTCACTGAATGGACATCACAAGTGTAGGAAGCTTGCAGCAGTGAGTGACTGTACATATCTCTGTATCTCAGTGTGTTGTTTTATTTTTCACTTTTTATGTGCAAAAATAATTTATTCACCCCTGCTTAGCATATTTTTACAATTATTGAACTCCAAAATGTTTCACAACCCAGCCTGTTGCCACTTAGGATGTAACTGGCTGCCATCCTAATTATAGATAATAAGATCTGTAGATAAGAAAATGCTTTATTTCTTTGCTAACTTTGTCAGCTATGGCTCTTGCATGTGGATCTGATATTCCTTTTGTTTGATTTCTAGCGGGGTTTAAACGGAAGATGTCATCCTGCCTGTATGAGTGCCTTTGTGAGGCAGAGCTTGAAAAATATTATCCACACTTTGCTGCCCTTGGCCTTCAGAAGATAGATGAACTAGCCAAGGTTTCCATGAAAGATTATGCCAAACTCGGGATCCATAACATGAATGACCGCAAGCGTCTCTTTCAACTCATAAGAATCATCCAAATTATGCAGGAAGAGGAGGAAAGAGCAGACACAGCCAAGGAAGATTTTCAAGCAAGTGGCCATTTCCTCCAGCCTCAGGTGACCAGATCAGGTCCTCGCAGACAGCTGCGTTTTGAGTCCCTCTTTGAAAAAAAGGATGGAACAGTTAAAGACTGTGAAACCGGATCATATGGTTTATCTGATTTTTCTGCCAGTGAAGATGGTTTAGTGGACATGTTGGGACATGTTCCAGAAGCTGACTTGGGTTACAATAAAGCAGCCAGAAGAGAAACCCTGACTGCTTCTGGGGCGTGCACAGAACATGACGTGGACTATCCTACAATGTATTCATCAAATAATATTGCCCCTCTGCTGGGGAGTTCTGAAGCCCCCATCATACAAAGAGTAACTCATATTTCAGGGTATAATTATGGACTACCTCATTCTTGCATCAGGTAAACATCATTCATTTTTGTTTCATTAGATTGGCATTAACTGACAAGGTTAGTCATTCCTTTAAGAACTTAGGAAGGAATATCCTTCTTCATTGACTCTGAATGAATGCCTTGTATGACTAAAATCAAACAATTCCCAGCTTCTACAAGAGCAGTGGAAAATCCTGTGGGGAGGGGAAACATTAAGGAGCATTTAGGACTTTCCAAGGTTGGTAGAAAGAAGTAGTTGAATTCACTGGCTGAAGCTTACCAGAATTGGCTAAAAATAGGCTTTTATGTTTTGCAATACTTATGTTTGTGTTGGGCTGGTATTTGAGCTCGCTTCTCTTATTCTATTAATAGAGCCTTTTTGCATAATTAAAACTATTTATTTACAAATTCTATCACTCCATATAGGTAATACCCTATGTCAAGTTTCCACCAGTAAAAGTAGCACATGGATTTTGTTAAGGGAACACCCAATCCATTACCTTTAAAAATTAAATTAATTTGATTTTTTTTTTAAATGGAAATCCAAAATTAATAGTACCAGCTGATTGGGCATTTTGCAGGCCAGGCCTGCAAAAATTGCATACAGATCTGCTAATGAACCTAAATCCTGAACTTCAGCATCCCAAATTGATCCAGCTTCTCTGCCAATATGCCATCAAACTTAAGTTACAGTACTCCCATGCTACTCTGCTATAGGGCATTTTTCCTGTGTCAGGGTTTTATGATGTTTATGGATAGATCATTTCATCTAGTGATAGCAGTTATAGTCATTTGTGAGCTAAATCGTAGTCTGAACCAGAGAATCCGGTGATGAAAAATTGATGTATGTACATGCTTATGTTTCCCAAGGGTCATCTCAGTTTAAAAATCCTTTACTAAAAATGTGCCTGGAAACTTGTCCACTTTTTTTCATATTTTGGTTGGAACACATCCATGCATTCAAATCCAACACCAATGCATTGCACAGAATGTTTCTAAACACACTTTTATTGGTTTGGCAAATTCTGTGGTGACATAACTAAGTTCATAAAAAGTCTGGGAATGTTTGAGTTTCTCAAAGTTAATACTGCTGGTTGTGCAGCTGGTTAAGCTAATTGGAAAAAAAACAGATAAATGATACAGAGAATATTTAATATATATCACACTTAAATAGAATTATTCTATCTATAAATGAGTTAATGATGAAATATTAATGCAACCAAAAAGCTCAACACATAGTAACAGCTGCTGTGATGCAAGCTGTGTTCAGTCAGCAGTGAAGCAATAGCCAATATCCAGTGCTAAATGTAGGCAAGTGAATTCAAAATTGCAATCTAGACAGCTCCCAGTTGATTGGTACTTTACCAGGAAGCACCTAAACCCACTAGGCACCTCATCATTTTTTTAATGTTATCTAGATGCCTGGAGAACTGTGTCTACACATGCCCAGAACTGCCCCAGTTTGAGCAGCTCAACACTTATCTCTAACCTAAACTGATCCAGAAACTAAGTGCTCCTCTGCCTAAACCACCCAGGAGCCTTCCGTCGGGCCTGGGACTCTGTGCAGCAAAGAACAGAGTGCTCTTGGGGCCAGAGAGAGACAGGACACAAGAGGGAGCCTGGCTCTGTAGCTCAATACCTGAGGCACTCACTTTGGAAGGGGGCCCCTGGGTTCTGGTCCCTGCTCCTGGGACTTTGTGCCTTTCAAATTAAGTACTCATTGAATACAACCTAAAACTGCCCTGAGGCCAAGGAGTATCATAACCACTAGGCTACAGGGCCTCTCCCTTTCCCTCTAGCCCTGTGATTCGTGCATTCAGAGCCCCAGGTTCTGTAACAGGAAGGCAGAACAACCTAAGACTTGGTGGTTGAACCCTCCCTCAGGTGATGAGAGCCATGTGCTGGAACCCCCTCGGGCCTTCGAGCCTGGGACTTCGTGGCTGACTGCTGTAACCACTGCACCAATATATAAAAGGTGAGCAGTGCCTGCTCTAGCTGCCTTTTAAAAGAAAACAATAAAACTTGTTCAGTCCTTTGGACATATAGATGTCCATGTCTGTCCCCATGAGAGGGCTCTAGGCTTAGGATCTCAAGTGAGCAGAGGTGCCTACCTGCAGCCCTGACTCAGGTGCCTAAACTCTGGAAGGAGTTAGAATTTCAGATCCCCCCCTCACCTCCCCACGCTTGCTGTTTCCTACTAGCCGGCTGTAGGTGTCCTTCTATACAGCATGTGGGGCTTGGGACTGGCTCTGCTGAGGTGCCTGTTTCCCTATGCACTGTATAGGGAGCCCCTGTGTCTAACCCACTGTTCTGGATTGCAGTTTGGGAGGCAGGCATTTATAAGTTGGGCGTCTTGGTAGGCACGTAGATCCCTTGTTGAATGTGGCCCTTTGTCTCTATCGGATTTGCCTTGATGATGACTATAGTCTTAGCTGCTAGGAACCCGAACAGTATGAATACAATTAAGAATGCAGAAAAATCAATAGCTCCTTTGAACATGCTTAAAAGGTTTTCTACCTGCTCATAGCAAATGGCTTGATTTTAATGTTAGCAGACGGGGTCACTTGTAAGCTGTTTCTGCCTTTATTGTCTCTGCCATGCTCCCAATTGCTTCTCTCTTTCTGAAAATATAAAAAGATAGTTCTAGGACATCTGAATGAAGTATATGTTTCCTACAGTGACTTAGGTTTCCTACTATAATCTCTAGGTGCAGTACTTTGTAATTAAAACCCATACTTCATTTCAATAGAAAATATGAGTCTGTACTGTCTGAGAATCCCTTCCCTAACAGAAACATGCTCTCATATCAAGGGATCTGTCATTCCTGCCTCTCCATTTCTCCTGCTTCTCATCTCTTGGGAATGATGGTCATTGTGCTCTAAAGGTCACCACAGCCAGGCTCTGGTGAAATGAGCTGCAATGCAGGTTCCAGAGCCAGTGACCTTTTGCTGAGAACATTTGGTACCCAACAGCATCATGATTGTTGGATGGGTCATTAACTCAGTCACCACAGATAATCTCAATTGTAGTCTCTTAACTTTTAGCACAGGTTTTGATACAGTCTCCCACAACATTCTCACAAACGAACTATGGGAAGTATGGGTTGGATGAATGGACTGTAAGGTGGATAGAAAACTGGCTGGATTGTTGGGCTCAAAGGATAGTAATGAATGGCCCAGTGTGTAGATGGTAACCAGTATCAAGTGGAGTGCCCCATGGGTCAGTCCTGGGCCCAGTTTTGTTCAATATCTTCATTAACAACCTGGAAGATGGCATAGAGTGCACCCTCAGCAAATTTGCAGATGACACTAAGCTGGGGGGAGTAGTAGATGCACTGGAGGGTAGCGCTAGGATTCAGAGAGACCTTGACAAGTTGGAGGATTGAACCAAAAGAAATCTCACGAGGTTCAACAAGGACAAGTGCAAAATCCTGCACTTAGGAGGGAGCAATCCCATGCACCGGTGCAGGCTGGGGCTGACTGGCTGGGCAGCAGCTCTGCAGAAAAGGACCTGGGGGGACTCTTCCCCTCGATTCAGCACTGGGGAGACCACATCTGGAGTCTTGTGTCCAGCTGTGGCCCCCCCACTACAGAAGGGATGTGGACACACTGGAGAGAGTCCAGCAGAGGGCAACAAAAATGGTTGGGGCTGGGGGACAGGACTTATGAGGAGACGCTCAAGGAACTGGGCTGATTTAGTCTGAAGAAAAGACCAAGGGGGATTGAATAGCAGCCTTCAAGTCCCTGCAGGGGGGCTGCAAAGAGGATGGAGCTGGGCTGTTCTCAGTGGGAGCAGATGGCACAACAAAGCAATGGGCTCAAGTTGCAGCAAGAGAAGTTCAGGTTGGATAATAGGAAAAACTTTCTCATGAGGAGGGTAGTAAAACACTGGAACAGGTTACCCAGAGAGGTGGTGGAGTCTCCATCCTTGGAGGTTTTGAAGACCTGGGTAGACAAATTCCTGGCTGGGATGATGTAGTTGCAGCTGGTCCTGCTTTGAGCAGGGGGTTGGACTAGATGTGACCTCCTGAGCTCGCTTCCACCCTCATTTTCTGTGATTCTTAACGGAAAGAGGTTTCCTTTCCACTACAAAGCCCTGATCCTGTAAACCTTTTGCATATGAGAAGTCCTGTGGAAGTAGACTAATGGGGTGGCCGGTCCAAGCAAGGATGTCTTCTGAGTAAAAGCTGCAGGATCAGGACCTGCAGCTGAGAGCCAGTCTTGGAGGGAAACCTTGAGTGCTGTTCAGTCTCATGTGGATCCCAACTGACACTTAAATCCCAAGACTACTGTCTTAACAAGAAATGGAAGGACTAATGCTAATCACCTTGTGGTCTTAATTTAGTGGAATCTTGTGTGTTTGCTTTAAATTAGCCTGTTAAAAGAGTTGGAAGAGCATTTGGTACACAAGACAGACACATGACTTACAGGAAGGCGGCAGGGTTCGATTAAAATAATTTGTTTCTGATTCGAATTCACATTCAGGTCCAGGGAGACCATCATTTTTCATTTGACTGAAGGGTGCTTGGGAAAAAGGAAAATTGGAGTGGACACAAATTGTTATAACAGCAGCATCTTTATGCACTCTCTCAAGATGTTTGCACAGAGGATTAATCACCTAGAGAAGTGATTGCTTCTCAGGATGGCAGGGAAACAGCAGAAGTAGATTTGGCAGGCCACACAACTGTGCTCCTTTGTGATTGAGACTTGTCACCCTTGAACATAGGTTTAGACCTAAATTAAGGCATGTGACATACATTAATATGTAGGGTAAGGGGTTTTTTTTACCAGCAAAGCAGAGTTCAGTTTTGGTAGCATTTGATAATAACGTGTTATGGTGTTACCAGAAGTTGACAGAGACGGGACAGGTAGATAGAATGATATGAGAGAGAGATCAAAAGGAGGATTGACAACCCATAAAACCTTAAATAGATTAAAACACCTTTCTAGATGTTTTTACAGAGCTCAGGACTGAAGTCATTATTGGTGACTGAATGCCAACATCATACTCCAAAGAACACTACACTGCTTGTTACTAAAATAGTCTTTTTCTTGTAACACTGGTTATAGTCATTAGTAGGATTTTCAGATGTACAGCCACAGTAATTTGTTGTTTAAAATAATTAGCCTACTAAATAAAAATCAAATCTTCATTTGCTATTACTAAAGGCAGTGCCAAACTAAGTGCCTGTTACAGAGTTGTCTTTGTGCTACTCTGTAGAGAAGGAGGGAGAGGGAAGGTCAAACGCCTCCACCCAAGATGAAAAGCCACAACTGAGGAATTGAATTGAGACCAAGATATGAGGCTCCAAGAGACACAGCAGTCTTCATGACAGTACTCAAGAAAGATGGATATTAATGAAAGCTGTATGCTTTCTAGTAAGACAATTCAGTCCAATATTTGGTCAAGGAATATGTTATCTCCTGGACCAGGGCACTCTCATCATGATACAATCTAAAGAAATGCCTGGTGAGAAGGGACTCCAGGAGATGAGTCTTTTTTGGATGATGTTAGTCTAGATCTTTAGTTTGTGGACAACCAAATTTATGTCAGGTCATTCCCAAGCTCAGCACTATGCTACATATATTAAAAACAAAACAAAACCCTTCAATGCAGTCACTTTAACAAATGCACTCAAAATTGGTGGTGGTGTTATCCTGCAAAGCAGACTAGTTTTTGCTTTTGTGACAGGCCTGAGTTTTATGTGAGCCTTCAAAACAAAACAGAGTTATCTTCACTAAACAGTAACCAGCTAAACTTGCAGCCAAATTTAAAGTTCTCTCCAATTATGAAGCCTCTTTTTAAACCCAAATTTGCAATCCCATGTTACAGATCAAATACCTCGGAAAAAGAGACACCGTGGACAGAGACTGACAAAATCCGCGTGTGTGTCCGGAAGCGTCCATTGGGCCTGAGAGAGGAGCGGCGCGGGGAAGTCAACATCATCACGGTGAAAGATAAAGAAACCCTACTTCTTCACGAGAAGAAGGAGGCGGTGGATCTTACCCAGTATATTTTGCAAGTAAGAGGTCTCCATTTACACTTGGGCTTTATAATCTGTAGGGATCAGGGGGCAAAGTGACACCTTAATGGAGCAACAGTCCAGGGAGAGGTGAAAACAGATTTGGGGTTTTGGTAAAGGATTTCTCTCTCTCTCTCTCTCTCTCTCTCTCTCTCTCAGATTAAACACAAATGGCAGGGTGCATCTCTCATCCCAGTGCGATTACCCTGGGATTACTCCTGAATTACACCAAACTGAGGATGTTAGACCCCAGGAAACACATCTCCCATACAAGTGCCTTTAAGTTGCCCTTTACCTTGCTTCTTAGTAAATGAATATTCCTTTTCTGAATCACGGATGCCAAAGTAGGATGCCTTGCTAAACATATGGCAGGAGCACATTGCCTAGTGCTGAGTCCCATATAGCCACAGTTGCTTGTACTTCAGTTTAGGACTTGCGTTTCTAAGAAGGTCACATACTCTTTGACTCCCTCTTTTCTAATGTTTCCCCTCAGTCCAGGGGCAAACATTTTTCAAAAGAAAGTTTTTTGTTTGGTCTTTGTTGCAAAATCCTGGCTACTTTCTTCTGCCATCGTTCAAATCCTCAGTTCTGACTGACAGCACCAAAAACACAGCTGATTTCTAGAGAGCAGCAAGCTATACTTGTTCTCCTGTGCGTTATTTTTATAGTCTCTAGACTGAGAACAACTGTTGGGGGTATCCAGTAAAATTAAATTTGCTAACTCTCCCAGGCCCAGTTCATATAGCATCTTTTATAGCCTCGTATACTCTGTAATTCCAACCCTCTGTTTCCATCCAGCCAGCTATATTCAGCATTTATGTGGCGCCTATCACCTTCATATCTAAGTGCTGAAATAAATCTTCACACTAAATTATATTCTGGCAATACTGACAACCCCCCCCTTGCTATAAACCCCTGTCATCCAAGTAGAAATATGCCATTGCTTCACTAAAATGATCTGGTTTAGGTTTCTTAGGGTGATAACCTTTTATTGGACCAATTGGGATAGTTAGACAAGCTTTTAAATGCAAGACATTCTGTGTTGGCATGGACCATTTATCCAAAATTCATGTAGCCTTAAGTTTTGCATATCTTCTGGCTTTCCTTATACTATTTTGTTTATATACTTCACCGTAACGTTACAGATAATAATCAACTTGGAGCCACGCTGAAGTGACATGGTATTTTAATGAGCAAAATTTTAAAATCTGGGAGGACCTATTCCAAAGCCCATTGAAATCAATGCCCATGTTTCCATAGATTTCAGTGGGCATTAGAAGAGGTCCTAAGATGGGACCTAAGATGGGTTCTTTTGCTTCTCAAACAAAACAGTCCAATTTGCCTGGGAATGGTTTTATCTTCCATGGGCACAAAAAGACTTTATACATTGCCTGCTTTTAGTTCTTCCTAATATGTGGGCTCACGCTAGTGATGTATGCTGGTTCACTTGGATGAGTTTTTAATTTTTTTATTTTTGAAGTTATGCTTATCTTTTTTCCTGTGGCTGCTGTTTGCCCTGCTTTGAGATGATGGGGAGGGGGAACCATCTTCTCTTTTCCTTTCCTTTCCAACACGCATGCTCTGTTTCTTGGTTGGTTGTACAAAGTTTGGTCATTTGGAACCTGAGGTCAGCAGAAAGACTTCTGGTAATGTCAGCTGGCTTTGGATTGAGCCCATAGCATGTGCTGTTCATTATGGGGTGAAAGTGAAATGAGCCAGATTCCTTTTCATGTAAAAATCACATCTATTTTTCAGCATGTTTTTTATTTTGATGAAGTCTTTGGGGAAGCATGTACCAATCAGGATGTGTATATGAAGACTGCTCATCCCCTCATTCAGCATGTTTTTAACGGGTAGGCTACCAATGCTTACATTTGTTATTCTTGCCCTTTTTATTTTTAATTTTATTAGGCTATTTTGGTTTCAGTTTTCATTTTACTTTTCTGGACACTTGTGAAAAACAGCATCGGTTTCACCTTTTCCATTCACAGTATTGTTGTTAAGTAAAATATCTGTGTCTACAGTTCTAACCCTGTTGTCCTTAACCAGCCAAAACTCTCTTTGTATGCAGTGGGAGATTTATTCAGATGGATAAATCAGACCTTACAGGGAAGAAGAGAGGTAGCTTGATCTAGTTAGAAATAGAGATTGGCTGTCGGGATTCCTGGATTCTAATTCTCTGTTGTAACATAGACTTTCTATGAGCTAGAACAAGTTATATGGCTCCCTTTGCCCAGTGGAGCTGTCTTGCATAAAGCACATAACATTTATATGCTTTATAAAGCACAGAAAGATGTATTTATAACATTCACAGTACTAGAAAGACAATAGAAAGTTTAGCAGTAAGCCTTTGATTTTTTTATTTTATTTACTTAGAGAATTATAATTATGTGCGCTCCACTTAATGGAAAAACAAATGTGGTTTTACATGTATAATTTAATTTCCTTAATGAAAAAAGAATAATGTGCCCATGCTGAAAAATTAACTAGATGGAGCTTTCTGTTATCAAGAAGTTCCAAGTATCCTCTGGGTCAGAATTTCTTTCATCAGTTGTTTTATCCATCACAGACCTGGGAAGGGAATCCAAAAAGAGACTAACTTGTTATGTAATTTATACCAGGGAGAATTAATTGGCATTCTGTGGGCATTGTTTTGGTCCAACCATTGACAAAGATCCAGCAGAAAAGTGTAAATTGATATAGCCAAAGTCTGTCATAGGAAGGTCAGTGCTGGAAGTGCTAAGCTCTTTCATTGTGTGAACCCCATGTTAATATAGAAGTGACCTCATGGATATTTTGCCGCTCATTTTCATGATCATGCAGACCTGCTTCCCTCCGATTTATGATCTAAGCCACCTTCTCCATTCACGATTGAATAACATCTGTGCAGTGCCAACAGCAATTGCTTACAGGGAAAACTACAATAATGCAACAAGCTTCGATGTATTTTTAATTTCCTGTAATATATGTTTAGCATCTGATAACAAGGGGGGAAAGCTGGCACTATGCGTTTAGCCAGTTCTCGACAGAAACGTAGTCTAGAAATTTGGTATCAAAGAATGGATCTTGTAGGACCCCAGGAGCAGATGTAATATAAAACCTCGCTTCTGGGGGTCAGCCATGTGTGTAGATATTAACCCAGCAAAATGTCTTTTAATAGATTTGAATGGATAAGATACAGCACCAAAAATAAAAATGATCTTTTTTAGAGGCAACGCCACCTGCTTTGCATATGGGCAGACTGGTGCTGGCAAGACTTACACTATGATAGGCACTCACCAGAACCCTGGACTCTATGCGCTGGCTGCTAAAGACATCTTTAGACAACTGGAGGCATCCCAGCCAAGGAGAGATCTCCTTGTGTGGATCAGTTTTTATGAGATCTACTGTGGACAGCTTTATGACCTGCTAAATGGAAGGAAAAGGTATTTAAGTAAAAGACATATTCCTGCAAAACATGGCCAGTGAATGACTTTGTTACTGATATTTGCAATTAAATTTAACAGAATTAAGAGTTCCAGTAAATAGTGTTGATTTAAATGGAGCTGTTTCTGGGCTGAGGTGCTACTCAGGGTAAGTAAGGATGGCAGCATCTGGCTCTATACACTGTAACATTCAGAAAGACCCTTGCGCAGTGGTGCAAGTCTGAGATACAAGCTTTGTATTGCACCGTCTGCCAGGCTCCACCCCTCAATTAGTTCAGGACTAATGGCAATCAATAGCATGGGGCAAGTTCTATTGTTTTTTTTTCCTTTTCTTCAGCAAAGATACTTAAGATTGAATTTAAAGCCTATGTGGGAAAGAAACAATTGGCTAGAGCAGGGAAGCTGAAAATAAGCACAGTGTGCTATTGCTGGAGGTGTCAGAGAGGAAAAAATCCACTGTCATATATTTCCATTATGCTATGCCTGAGTCTTCTCTCGACCCAGGGTAGCACAATGAAGCCCAAGTGATTTTTGTTTCACTAACGTGGCTGTTGACTAATATTTTACCTGAGAGACCTAGACATTTCAGTGGGCACTTTGATTACTGTGAAGCAGAAGTATCAAGATGCTAAACTGCAGTGGCAAAACCTGGGAGAACTGAAAGAACTCGAGTTTTCCTCACATAAAAAACACCCTGGTCTAAAATATCTGAAAACTCAAGAGGGGATAATGCTCAGTTAAAGTTGTGACAATATAAGTCTTCAACTGTGGTCTGGAAAGAGCATGATCTTGCACCTGAAAACTGGTAGGGTGTTTGAGGGGGGGTGGGGTATGCCTTGAGCATGCCACAGTGCTTAGCAAATTACCTGCCTTGTCTTTGTGAGAGAGAGCAGCCCATTGCCGGGCAATCATCTGTGTCTGTAACTTGCCATTTGCTGCTGAGTGAGAGCCCCTAAAGAGATCCCATTTCTTGGGTGCAAGCTAACCAGTTGATATAACCTGCTACTGCACCATCACATCTACTTCTCTAACTCATAAAAGAATCGCTCATATAGCCTGTGATTTTGCAGCTGTGGGAATCTTCTGTAAAAGCCACAGAGTTATGGGCATAAGCTTTCACTAAAAGGAGTTCAAGTAACCTTGAAATCAGAGGGTGTGATTTTTTTTTCACTGAGCCTGGAGACAGCGTGAAACAAAGGCTGTAGGAAAGGCATGAGCTCTGACATCTAAGATGGCAATGTCCGTGTCAACAGTATTGTGTCACTGCTGATCATATTAGCAGAAATATCCAGCTAATTTACATTGCCAATGGCCTTTTAACAAGGAAATGTTAGAAGTGCTTTGTATAAATGAAATGACTATGCACCGCTGGCAGTAAGTTAAAGGCAGCAGACACTGTACTGCGATTTGTGGCCTTGAAATTCATTCTTTGCAGCACTTCTCTGTATAACTGATACGTACAGGTATTCCTCACTATTTTATAAGGATTTCTTCAAAACACTCCATTTGTGCTAACTGGTGTTGTTTCTCCTGCAGACTCTTTGCAAGAGAAGATAGCAAGCATGTGGTGCAAATAGTTGGACTGCGTGAGGTTCAGGTGGATACCGTAGATCTCCTTTTAGAGGTAATTTGACTTTGTCAGTGCATAACTTATCTTCTAAAACCTCTGATGCACTAAATAAGTTAGCAGGGCGGGATGACTGTTGCTACACTGTGCGGGTGCTGTTGTAGAAGCACACGGGCACGTTCCCTTACAGGGCTCTATGGCAGCAGCAGAATGACTTTGAACCATTTGGCAGCCACAGAAGAGCACTGGAGGGACGCTTTCAGAAGTGCCTTTAATTAATGCATTCAAGTTCCTGTAAAGCAAGTTACAGTGACCTACCTCACATGCTGACTCAGAGGTAGCGCTACAATGCTCAGACCTCGGATGGGATCTTTGCCATGAGGCTGAGTGCCGTAAGTATCCGGAAATGACAGTGTCCCAGCAAAACAAACCCTGAAATCTTAGAACACAAAATGTGACTCCTTCCACTTTAATAGTGGAGATTTAGCTATTTCCCACCCCCAGAAACCATAAACCTCGCAAAATAGTTCCAAAAGGGAAATGTAAGTGTGCTCAACAGACTGATCTGCATCTGAAACAACCCTGTAGGCAGAACGTGGCACATCAGATGAAGGCAACAACATGTGAGAAATGGTGGAGAGAGGAGGACTTGGTCACACCAAGCAGATGCTGCAGTTGCTTCATTTATTTTATTCTTGTCTTGATGGGTCTGTTTTCCTCCTATGTGGACTTCTCTGGCTCCAACAGACTCTTTCCTTTCACCTCTTCCTTCTCTTTTCTGGATAAATTGGGAGGGGCTTGGTGTAAATTTGTAAATAAGCATGGTGAGCTAGAGATAATAAAACACTTTGGCTGCTGAGCAGAAGCAGAATGGAAATGCTGCCTGAACTAACCGTGCTGAGTCGCAGCTGTTTTTTAAAGCTAGCTGTGTATCTTTTGACAACAGCTGACACTTGGCACAAAAAGGCTGCGGCCTCACTCTCCCACTCGGCTCAGTAAGACAAGGACAGCCTCGTTTTCTGCTCTGTTCTGTACTGAGCGAGTTGGTGCTAAGTCCATCTGCCATCCAGGTTGTTCTCTGCATCATTTAAACTTTGTCTCAGTGAGGAACCAAAGATTTTGTGCACCTGATATTGTAGCTGGGCTTTTTAATATTGGCACAGTACTGCTCATTTCCATTCCACTTGACAGTCGCTGCCTTCTGGGCTTTTATCCCCCATTAACTCTGAGCTTCAGGAGATGCTGGTGACGTTTCTGCAAATTAGGGCACAAACCTGCTGAAAGGCTGATTAATACATTCCTCTGCATTATCACACCCTGCACACAAGAGTTATTACATGGTTTTGTTCTCACAGGTATCTTGGCAAAACAATTCATTGCATATTGTCCAAAGGCTCCTTTGAATACAGAAAAGTCTCCAGCCTGATTTAATGCTCTTGAATAGCACAGTACCATACGTATTGGATGAGTCTTCAATGCTCGCCTCATGATTATTCAATATTTATTGATATTGGCCTCAGATCAGAAACTCTTCACATTTAGCTCTAGTTTAACAAATGCTCACGAGCTACAGCAGTCAGCTAGCTTGCTGGTTCAGAGTTGACTGATCACTGAGAGGCATAAATACAGCCTATTTGTGACAAAAGATGGTCTTGATTTTGCTACATTGGCAGTAAGACTAAAATACTAAACATGGTGCTTTTAATTTGGCCTGAACACCTTGCTACATGCCTTCTTGTTGGAATTACTGTGGCAATTTCATAGGTTGTTAAAGGCTCAGGACAGAGAATAATACAAAATTGTAGACCCAAAGGTCTTTTTATCCTTCTGCTACACCTCCCCTTCCCTTCCCCTGTTATCTTGGTAGTTAACTCTGAGCATAATTGATCACTTTAGCCTTGCTGCTTGCTTTGGCATTGTTCCTCTTGCTCCCAGTTACAGAGATGGATGAGTGGATTAGCACTTTTTGTCACACCATATAATATGTCTCTTTAGAAAGAACCCTTCAGTGATGTGAGAACATGAATTTTTAAAAAAAGCACATTGTCCACAGTCTTCAGGACCCCTATGCCTCACTCTGTGCTTTTCCACCATGCATTTATTCCACTTGATTATAAGCTAGTCATTTTGCAGATAGGAGGGGATGTGCAATGTGCTGATAATTCCTGTTCTTGATGTTCTTACTTTACAAACCCTTTGATGTCATCCCTAAGGAATAACAGTCCCATAGTCCTAGCTAAATATGGCATATAAAGAATCTGCGTGTATTGAATGTACAATTTAATTGGCTTTTGTCCTCTTTATTTTCCAGGTGATTTTGAAGGGTGGGAAGGAGCGCAGTACTGGGGCTACTGGCGTCAACTCAGATTCTTCCCGTTCACATGCTATCATCCAGATTCAGGTTAAAGATGCAGCTAAGAGAACATTTGGGAGGTGAGGTTGGAAGCAGAATTATCCAATATGACAGAGACATTTCAACTTAGCTTGTTATCTTTAATTAAATCATGCACATCTGTAGTGGCAGAGTGGTCTTCAGGGGGCAGTGCTGAAATTGGAAAAGTTGCTTATCTCCGAATCTGACAAGCTGAGCATGATAGTTGTTGTTGTTGAACTTGTTGGTTGGATTAAGTGGGGACCCAGTATTAGTGGCCTCTTCAAGTGGGGCTGAACTGCATGTTAATCTTCCTTGACTACGTGAAGAAGGTAGCTGTCAAGATGAACATAAGGGTCACAATTTGTTCCAGAAATAGGCAAGCACAAGCTGGGGAGCATCAGTATTACGGACATCAGTGCTGACCCATGCATACCCTATAGCAAGTACTGTGCATCGGTATGGACCAAATGCAGTCACACTCAACTTGTTGACATCCAGTTGAACTCTGCAATGAAGTACATCATTGAACCCCTCAAGTTGGCCCCAACACCTTGGCTGCCTGTGTTGTCGCGCATTACTTCTCCATCCATTGGCTGCAAGGCAACAATTCTATGGGAAGTCCAGCGAATTAAGGAAAACAACTGTCTCCCCATCCACCAGGACCATAACAATGATCCTCACCATCACTTAGTCGCACAAGCCCTTCTGGATCCACGTGTTTGAGCTTCAACAATTTGACTTCAACCCTGATAAGCCAAATGGAGTTCACAGGAAGTCCCAAAAAAAAATCTTGTGATAGACCCAATGCACATCGTCGTCCCTGGCTTTGATCTCCCATGACACTCATGGACAACTCTAAACCGTATCTGTACAAACCATGGGAGATGCAAATAGTTGATGTACAAATGGAAAATTAAAAACTCTCTAGTGCGCAACTATGGTCACCCAGAATAGATCATGGAACATATAATGACTCAATGCCCGATCCATGAATATGAAGGTGGTATCACAGTGATATACTCTGCTGCTCCTGATGCAATTGTCTGGCTCAGTCACCTAAATGTAAAATTATAGTTGCTGTTCTGTATTTACATCAGCCATACGAAAGAAGAAGAGGCCCCTGATGAATGGCAAGTGGTTGCTGCTGTAAACAGGCTGCAAGAAAATATGGTCTGCTTTTTTTTTTCCAAGTATCCAGCAGCACTAAATACATTCCAAACAAATAAGATGCACCTACTTTCCCCAAAGATTTTTTCCTACAAATGACAAGTCAGAGCAACAAACGGGAAGAGTGCAAAAGGTCAGAAAACTCTTGCAGGTGTAGCACGCGTGGCATGGATTTTGTCATTGAATAGGAGGTAGAGCTAAATAAGGGCAGGAGACAGGGTTATGACAGGAGAAGTGGATAGGACTGTCATAGGAAAAGCAGCAGGGAAAGGGAGAAATGAACACATCAGTTAAACAACTTGTACCCAGAGAGAAAAGACTGGGAAAACAGGAGGACTAGCAGAAATCTCGAAGAATGGAAGAGCGGAAACACTGGCTCTGAAACCACTTGATGATGCCATGTATTATTTGCTTCACTGTAGCTGAGTTCTTGAGCTACACTGCAGTTCCATACAATGAGGACAGGTGTATTGGAATGAAACATCTATCTTAATTAGAAGATTTAAAAAGTCATTCTTTTCCAAGTGATCCATGTTTGCTCAGAAGTGACTAGCACTGCGGTCATCTAGAGGTATGAATATACTACACTTTGATCCATTAAGCCATGATGCATTCTCATCATCAGTAATTAGACTTCCTGTTATGAGCGTCTGTTCCAGTGCCAGAATGCTCTGTGCTTGTCCAGTAGCTGCTGGTATCTTGTTACTGTGATGCCTCTGAGATACTTGCAGTAGGCATTTCATCCTGTTTTATGGCAGTGATGTCTTGCCATTCTTCTGGCGTTGCTGCTGGCCGGTTAAAAAAATGCATCTATGTTTTTCTAGGATCTCGTTCATTGACTTGGCCGGCAGCGAGAGGGCAGCTGATGCCAGAGACTCAGACCGACAAACAAAAATGGAAGGAGCAGAAATAAACCAAAGTCTTTTAGCTGTAAGTTTTTAACATTTATGGAAAAACTTTTTTTGTAATTATTACCATATGTTCTCACATACAACATGCTCCAAAATAAAACATGCATTTTTGTTTTTGAAAGGTGGAATGAAGAAAAAAGGGTTTTTCCTTAAAAACCACTGGGTTGAGGGTGTGGGGAGGGGAAAGAAAAAGTGTCCCAAACCAACAGCTAAGGAGCACATGCAGCTTTACTTCCTGGTTCCTCTGACAGAATCTTAAGCAGCAGAAACTGCTGTTACCACATGTCCTCAATTATAATGCACACCCCAATTTCCAGCAGCTGGGTTTGGGGGCAAATTGCATGTTGTATCTGAGAAAACACAGTATTTTTAGCTTGTTTTTTAGGCTGAGTAGGAGAAAAGCAGAGTAATCTGTAGACAGATTCTAGTAGAAAACCATAGTACTAAGAGCTGACAATTAAATTGCCTTCCAGCCATGTTAAATTAATGAGGAAAAGAATTTAATGAGATGAGAAACCATTATTTTTAAATACATGCTCATAACCAGGTAAAGGTACAGAAGATGTTCAGTATTGTGTGGTAAGTTCATATTCCATTTGATACTTTTTTCTATCATGGGCTATTTGCATGAAATTGGGATGTTTTGCTTTAAAAAATGTGTTTGCTCCTGATGCTTATTTTCCTACTTTAACTTGGGCTTTTCTGATATCACAAAGGAAAGATGTGTAAGTAGGACCCTAGGATTTAGCAGTTCAAGTGGGGGTAGAAAAAGGAGTAGGAGTAGATGAATGCTTCAAAATAAGTATCTTTACACTGAGATGCACATAGCAATAAAGTGATGGAAGAGATGGAGGGAAATACAGACAATGCCACACCAAATCACATTGAATTTTCTCTGGATTTGGAAGCCGTGCAGAAGGGACCCACTGCCTTACTTCAGATTAACAGAGCCCATTGACGACTGAAGTTTTTTCCAGACAGGGAAATGTGTGTGTATTCTACACAGACTTTCCAAGGGAACTCTGTCAGTGTGCTCTAGGTGTGAAACAGCTTTCTCCACTTTGAAAGCAATGCAAACCACCTAGCAAAAGATTGTGCATGCACTGAGGGTTTGCACAGAGTTAGTGCAGAGTAGCTCATGTGCCCAAAACTGACACCTGGGATTACTGCACACATCGGCATTTTGACAAGCCCCAAGTACATTCTAGTCTAGTGATTAACTCAGGGGATGTCTGAAATCTAAGATAGCTTCCATCGGCAACCTCACTGTGCAACCTTAGTGACCATAATTTTTTTGTCCCAGTGCACCTACCTGCACTGGAAGCTGCCTCTCTCTTTTTCAGAATTGAGAGGCTTAATGCTGGTTTGTAAAAACTCTGAAAGACACGTTAGAATTGCAGAATGTGTGCTGTCATTATGGCAATGGCCTGAGCACTAGTTGTGTGCACATAAGTGTAGTCTAGCATCCAGTAACAATACTTGGACCAACCTCCGAGAGTTTACTACGCTACTGATAAAAAACATTAAAACTGAAGTGAATGGCACAGAAGTCAGGCAAGGCTTCAGCCAGCGTTCCTAAAACCACTCTATCCTCATTTAGTTGAATAAACAGCAAACTGTATTTTACACTTCACACCAATTGTTCGGTAGACCTTATTTTAATGCACAAACACAGCATCTTTATTTTATTACCTCATAGCAAAATTATGGCTCTGAAAACCAGAAATGGTTCAAGTCATCCCTGACTGTCTTTAAGAGTCTAAATGGATTTCCATCACACTTTCCAGAAAAAAACTTTCTTCAGGGCTGCAAATGAGTAGGAGACTCATCATGGCAAAAGGAAAGGCCATGGAGACGTTTATAGGCACCTTACAATAGGCATTTAGAGAGATGGGCAGCCTGCCTATGTATCTCCTACCAGCTCTTGCAGCTTTACAATCACATTTTTTCAAAATATTTTTCTTTCCCTTCTTGTTGTGTGAACAGGCTCTAGAAATGAGGGGAAATGTACTAAACCTGGCAAAAGGAAAAATAAATTAAATACTTTATGCATTCGACAGCTATTTGGATGCAAAGTCAGAGAGCTTTTCCCTCTAACCATCCCTGCCAGCAGGGATTGCAGAAACCTGCTGCTGAACCCACCCAATTTTAGGGATTTTTTTTTTTTATCCCCAAGAGAAAGAAGGACAACAAACTTTTTAACGGTAAGGCAATTAGCTAGTGAAACAACATACTTTGTAAATGGGTTCTTCATGAATTGGCATTTTGCAGTCAAGGTGGGACATCTTTCCAAAATACACCTTGTAGCTCAAGAAGAGGTGATGGGATTGCTGAAGTCGTTGGATGAGTTTCTCACCTATGTTGCCATGACTGGTTGTGACTGCAGTACATTTAGACATATCTGAACTAGCTCTAAACTAGCTTGCTCAGGTAATGCTTGCAGTGTACCAAAGCAGCATAGAGCTCAACCCAGGTAGCAAAGCCCCCCCAGAAACTGGGTGGTTAGTCCTCACCAAGCTCCATACTGCCCTGGCCATGCTGTTAGCCGTATCTGAGTTGACTTAAGGGCTCACACAGACCGCTTGCGTACATCAATGCAGGAGACTTTTACACTGGCTTAAACAAGGAGCAGACAGACCATATAAATGCCTATCCCAGGGTAACTCTCAGGGTAGAATTATCCTAGGAAAATCTGGGGTAAAACTGCATCTGTGTACATTGCAGTGATGTAGGTGTTGTGTGTGTGCTTCCATCCTGGAGCAGCTGTTTTCTCCGAGGTGAACTCTTATCACCTAGAAGGCAAAGCGCTGTAATACTGCCTGCTGGTAGCAGCTGGCCCAGATGAACTGCTTGGCTATATTCTCTGAAGCCCATTTATTTCATACTGATACAAAACCAATGTTGGATTGGCACAACAGTGTCATCTGTCCAGGACCTAAAGCTAGCTTGGGTATGTCTGCGCAGGCTTCAGGTAATCATAATGGTCCATGATGGTTTAGTCAGGGATGATCCTACACTGAGCAGAGGGCTGAAAAGAGCCTCATATGCCCTCTCGACTAGGTGACCTCATGAGGTCCCTTCCAGCCCTATTTTCCTATGACCCTATGAAAAATCTGTGAATAGTGAAGTTTGATAGGGATTTCACTATGCCTCTTGCGTTTTTATATGGAAGATTTTAGTAGCTACAGTTATGGGCAGTGGTCTAAAACCCTAGCATAAATAGGCAGTCTTTTGCTAAAGTCCTCTTGAGGGTATTTTCCAACAGCATTTAGAAAAAATCAAAATTCAGAAAACAGTATGATTTTTAAACTGGACACTGTCCCATGCAGTGTGGAAATCTCAAGTTAGTGTCAGTATTACAGAGCTGTAATCTGCCTAATGATATCTACTCTCCATGTAGTTGCTCTAATAATGGCTTGCGTCAATGGGCACACAGTCCATTTCCCTCGGTTGTAGAAAGCATTAAAGTCTGCTCTGGAGCATGACACTCTTCTGTTTGTGCTGGTAAAGGCACGTGACAAAGACATGCACTTTTTAATGTCTGAAATTGTCAGCCTTTTAATAGACAAGCAGTAAATCAGGAGGGAAATGTTTCTCCAGGATTATGTGCTGTTCTTCCCAAGAATGATTAACAAGAAATAGATAATGGGTATATTTTCAGGAAAGCAGAGTTGCATTTAGCTGTTCATGTCTCATTAATCTTAATGGAAGGTCTGTAGTTACGTCCCCACCCACTGTGCTGAAATAGTAGCCCCGCTGCTTCGCTTGTGGCATTTCTGTGTATGCCGTTAATCTGTCAAATGGACTTTTGGCACAACGGGCTGGTGAAATGCTCACTCAGACTAACTGACTTGAAAATGGCAATTATAGATGAACAGCTGTGGCTCATCCATGGATTTTGGAGCCAGTAGCTTTCCATGCTCTTAAGAATGAGGAAGCATGGGCCACTGATGTCTTTTGGGGATGCACAGATGGTATGGGCTTCAGGGCCAGCACTATTCACCATTACATTCACTTGTATGTTTATTTGTTTCCTTAAAGTCCTGACTCATTGAGTGCTGAGTTTAGTGCTTCACATCAAAGAAGAGACTTAGTTTTCTCTTACCTTATCTTTCCCATTTGTTTCCTCCACTGTGGCATCTGGTCATAATCTAGACTATAAAATGGGCATGGGCTGTCATCCATGCACATCTGCATAGTCCGTGACGTAACAGATGTGTGATCCTTGGTTGGTGCCCCTTCAGGCTGCCCCACTAGAAATAATACTATTGTTTTTCTTTAAAAAGCAATGATCAACCTTTCAGTGCAGAAGGACTTTAAAGCCAGGAGCTAACGTGAACATTTAACACTGCCAGCAGCAATGCTGCTCTAGAAATATGTACCTTGAGAAAGTCCTGTCACCTTTGGATTGCCTGAAGACCTGCAGGGTAGCTTTTTCCATCTGCAGTTTGGGTCCGTGGCCACTTCGAAGCAGCCCCAGGTGTTTGTGTTGTGTGCACACAGACATGGATGACCTGATAGTAAAACAAGAGCATACATACATGCCAGGGTTCTTCCTGCTTGCAGCTGGGGACTGTCAGAAATGTTCATTCTATTTTAGGGGTGATTCACGAATACTGGTGGGTGGGTGGAGAACCGTTCCGACTGACTGGTGGTTCCTCTTGAGCAGGGGGTGAAAATGTTGGCAGAGGGCAGGAGAGTTTCATTCACACAGCTTGCAATGTCGTGCACTTTCTGTGATTGTCCCGTGCTAAGCGGCTGTCCACTTGTGTAGCAACTGCCGGATCATATTCTCCTTCTGTGCTCATTTTTCTTTCTCTATTGCAGCTGAAGGAGTGCATTCGGGCTCTGGATCAGGAACATGCTCATACTCCTTTCAGGCAAAGCAAATTAACTCAGGTAAACCAAACCCAAGGCAGTAGTGGGTACTACCCCTAAGAAGAGCTGAAATAGAAGTAGTAAAGTTGAATAATCCTGACTTCAGTGACTTAATATTGATAACCCTTTGGGGAAGGGCACATGCTTTCCAAGCATGCATTTAGATGGTAGTCTGAGGAAATGCCAGTTTTCATGGTACTAACACCAGCTGGAAACCAATCTGGATGTGATCACTCTGTAGGAAATGTTATGGTCAGAGTTGACTAGATCTCAGAATAAACTGCTCTTATTCTTGTGTAAGCTCCTGTGACGAGCTGTGTGGACCAGCCGTCCTCAGCAGTTCCCATTGTGACCATCCACTTAAGACTCTTGTCTGTTGGTTACCTTCCTATCGTCTCACAGTGATCTTGCCCCTGGCATGCAGTAGTCATTGTGCACGTTTTGATTAACAGTGCTTTACTCTAAGGACAGGTCTCTGCTGAGCGCACACTGCCCGACATGTGCCAAAGCCCTGATATTAGGCAATGCAGGTGGTTAGCACAGCGTATACTGCATGCCAAGAAAAGCACCTGAGACAGAGTTGGAGAGCAGTTCTGGGCATGTGCTAAGGGCTACATTCAACCAACTCCACTGCCTAATTTCCATCTGAATGGGACAGTCTTCTCAGCAGTTACCCTGGGCTCACTACAGTGATGTTAAAAGGTCCCCTAAGATTTAAACCGTTTGGCTTGAGAGTGTTTAGAAGGAATACGCTAGTTACTAAGAAGGTGCATTTTTCCTTTTCCTGCAAGGTACTGAAGGATTCTTTCATTGGGAACTCCAAGACATGTATGATAGCCAGCGTGTCACCTAGCCACATAGCAACAGAACATACCTTGAACACACTGCGGTATGCTGACAGGTGAGTAACTTGGATTATGTTTCCCAATTTGAGCACCCTAAAGGAATAACAGATGATACATGTGTGTAATTAAATGATTTTTGTTGGTTGCTAGTGCTAGTAAATGCTGCAGGATCTAAGAGCAAGAAATGCAGTTAACACATAACAAATAACTTCCTCGTCTGCTGCACTGCTGTATACTGGGTCACTTAATTCTCCAGGTCTCTTACATGATTTTTTCTGATGACACACAACTGAGATCTCAACAGTGATCTGAAACCACTGTTGCAGTGATTAAAATTTCATTGTATTTTTCATAAACCAGTAGGATTGATAACCCCAGCGTCCTGAAGAAACTCCACTTTTTTTTTATTGTTGTTTGTGATGTGATTCTGTGTAGAGTGTGCTATCTGTGCCCAGAGGGAAGAATTCTGGTAGAGGATTATCTTTTACTGGAGCAAGGTTGCATCTACATAAGACGCTGACTGTGCAATTGTTAGCTGCACAACCATTTAGTACTTGCATACACAAGTACTAAATGACTGCACAGTAGTGTCACTGGGCAGCTTTTAGGTGATGTTGACTGCGCAGTAGCTCATTACTACCGTACAGTAGTGTCACATCACACTTCATGCCACATGATGCTACTGCGCAGTAGTACCGAGGTACTGTACAGGCAGCGTCTCGTGTACACGCAGCCCAAGTGCATGGTTGGCATAGACAACCATCAGCTTTCTGATATTCCAGCACCGTTCCTCAGGCCCCACTATATGTGCCTGAAAGCACGAATTATGAACTGCTCTGTACAAAGATCAAGAGAAAGAACAACATAAAATGCAGGAAAAAGAAAAGGTAATCAAAAAAGGCTCTTGATATCATTTATCACCAACTGCCTCACTGTGGGTTGTTAGCCTTCTTAGAAATTAAGGTAGAACTGGGTCTTGAAGAGGGATTTGAAGGAAAAGAAAAGCAGGTACAATTCCTTTTCCTTTAAATTGGACAGAAGTGCTCTTCACTTCCTGTATTGTTACCACTCCCTGTTTAAGAAAGCTGATGCCAACCCCCCACAGGAGTGCTGCATTTCATTAGCAGGTAATGTGCTACCTTTAATGGGTTAATTGAAGCACCACTGATCACACTGATTTAATATTCATGTACTAAAATATGAGGCTGTGCTAATATCACTGTAAATTATTACTTGAATGCCCTGAACGTTCCAACACACCATCCTCACTTACAGGGTAAAAGAGCTGAAGAAGGGAATGAAGTGTTGTACCCCTGTCACAAGCAGACATCGGACAGCCGGAAATCCGTCTCCCAAGCGCATCCAGAACTCGCCATCGGTGCAGGGTGGAGAGAAGAGCTCTCCAAAGAAGGTGAAGCTGGGACTCCAGCATCCTCTGACTTCTGTGAGGATAAAGGCGTGTGCTTCTGTGTTCCACGCAGCTGGCATCCCTTTCTCCTCTACCCCCAAAGGAGCCAACAAAAGTCATACCCACAAACCAAACTCCAGCTCGCCATGGCTCCATCACCCCAGTCCAGTGAAAGGAATGCTCCCCACAGGACATCTCATGAAGAAAAAGATGGATCTGACACCGCTGTCAGAAAAGAACCATTTTGTGAAGGATTTTGTGGTCAAAACAGCTGGAACCCCAGAAGCAAAAGAAAGGAGCCAAGGAGATACTGGCATGCAAGATAAACAGCCAGTCAGATGCCTGAAAGTGCAGACAGTGCAACCTGTCCAGAAGCAACTCATTTCCAGAGAGGACTTTTCTCTTGGAGACATAAATTATCCATCAGACAGCAGTCAGAGCCCTGGAAATACATTCCTTAAGCAGTGCGTTGAAACCTGGACAGACCTTTCTCCGTACCGGAAGGGAAGGGAAGAACATTTGCGTCTTTACCACCAGCAGTTTCAGCAGCCACCGATTCTCCAGCAGAAGCTGAACTATCAACCGCTAGAAAGATTTTTAGCCCAATACAAGCCCCAGGAAATTAGGGTTAAGCCAGAGCAGAGCCTGACACTCAGAGATGCACAGTGCAAAGATGGGATGCAGCTGGAAGAGCTGGATGACAGTGATTTTAGTGAGGACTCTTTTTCCCCAGTGTGCACCCAAGAGACAGCGAAAAAGAAAAACCCCAGTGACTGCAGCCAGCATTCATTTTTCCTTCATCAGCGAGAACAAGGAGTGGAGGAAGAGCAGAAAGTCTGCAGGAAGCCTGGCTTATTCTTCAACTATGCAATGCATATGGAAGAGCATGAACTAGATGACAGCTGGGATTATAGCAAAGGCTCCTCATTTCCAAAGACAAAGGAGTCAATTAAAGATGCAGAAAAGAGGATGCAGTCTGACTGGAGCATAGAGGGTGATGTGACTATTGATTCTTCACTGAGCGACCAGACTGCAGAAAAGCCTTATTGCTTGCATGAAGATCTTGTCTGGAGCTGGAAGGACAACATAGACTTGTCAGCTGATCACGGCCAGTACAGCTCCAAACACAAATCTCAGGTTTCTCCTGGTGAAAGCTCCTTATTCCCAGATAAGGACACACAGTGTCCATGTGTGCCCTACCTATTGGACTCAGGGCCTGCAGGATGCAAAGAGATTAATCTTCACCCTGCACAAAGGGAAGACTCCATCAAAGGCAGACAGGCTCCTGTTGAAGGAAACATAGAAGGGAAGAATCTGATAAATGCAGCTTCTAATACTTCATCAGAATTCACTTCTGAGCTGATGGCCCCTCTGACCTTGTCTCTCCTTGATGATGAGGAGGCAGCTGATCCAGAGAACCACCCTCCTGCCCAGGAAGGGGCCATCCATGTGAAACAGATGCTGGAGACGAAAGTCTGCAGCCCCAGAAAGAAATTGGAGGGAGAGGCCAGAGCATTTCTTAGAGATGAAACCTCTCCAATAGGCAGCGTGCCTGAGCTGGGGGAACAAATGCACCACTGTGAAATGAAATACACTGAGCATCGTACCTTGCACACGGAGAACATGTGGCTTTCACAGGCCTGTCCTGAGCCACAGCTTTGCTGCGGCCTGGAAGATTCAGCCCTGCTGAATGTCTGCCACGGGTCTGTTAATGCTTTATTTCCTAAAGATGCAGGCTTGACAGAAGACTCCAGATCTGGAGCCAGAGACCCCTGCAAAGAGAAGGAGGGTTTATTCTTTCTTAGTCATCTCAAGTGTGGCGAATGCGTGGACAGCAGACACTATGAGGCTGATACTGAAGATGCTACCAGCAGCCTGTTAAACTGCCCAGGAAAACCCAGCCTGGGTAAAGCAACAGGTGTTAGTCCCATGTCTCAAACTGTATGTGTGGACACACCTGCAAAGGGCTGTTTTGCAAGCCCCCCACCCATTCCTAATGAGGAGAGTGAGGAAGGCACAGTCCACTCCCCTCCTCAAGAAACCAGCCTGCTCCAACCCAGCTCAGAATTCAGGCCGAAGGACTTCAGCCGTGCTGAAGACATGTTCAAGTTGTCATTCAGTGGCGAGGAGTTGGGACTGCTTCAGAATAAACTGGTGCAAAGTCTTTTTCCACAAAGCAGCTTTGATGCTGCAGAAGTTACCAAAGAGATTAAATCGTTAGCAAATCCAAACAGTCCCCCAAGCACCTCGATCCTCAGAGACCTGACCGATGCCTCAGAAACATCAGACCTGCCCCTGGAAGTCCTGGGAGAAGCACAGTAAGTTTGTATTTACCCCTCTAGCTTGCATTGCACAGATTACAGACACCGGATGAGCACACAGTGCCTTTGCCTAAGTATTTTTGTATAGTGTTACAGGTACTTCTTAAACTCAAAGGGAGCCAGTTCTTCTATTAGATGAAGCTGCATATTGAGGTCAGATAAGTAGTACCTCCCCTGTCACAGGCCAGCTGGGAACTGTGAGTGTATCAATTTTATCACAGGCCAGCTGGGTTGTTTGATTCAGTTTCGGATCAAGGAGGCAAAGTTGGGAGTTAAATAAAGGTAAATTTATTATAGCTTACACACACACAACAGTTAACAGAAGGATAAATGCAATAAGCAGACAATGCAGTATTAAAGAGCTAATAGTAAATAATAACAACAGATAGATCAATTCTGTCGCAGGCCAACTGGGCACTGCAAGGGTATTAACCACTGGGCTGTTCAAAACAACAGATAGACAGACATGGGTTGGCAACTTATCGATAGTCCCTGAATGCCAGGTACGTGGTCAAGTGATTCCAGTAAAGTCAGGTGTCCCCAATCCATGCTGTCAGAGGGTTACCGGGGAAGGTCCCTTGATCGGAATCCAATCCTCACTCACACCAGGAGTCTGGGGTCTGGGCGTGGAACAGAAATGACCGTTCTGTTCCC